ATATATTTTGTTATGCAATTTTGTTTCACAGTGTAATGTGTTGTTTTTTTACATTTCACTTCGAATTGCTATAAGAATCTACAATTTGTGCACTTGAATGGAATTATGAATAATGTTATTCGGTATCACTGTTAATGGCAATTAAAGACGACGTCGTATACGTATGTGTATCTAAAATGGTTTGTAATATGACGATCATCGTCTGTCAATGCTTATTTGTTATAAACAAATGTTATTTGTAATTGACTCTCTCTCTATAAAGTGACTTGGCAACAAGTAAAAAAGGAAAGCCTTAAGTTGGGTCTGCTCAAACTCTGTATGACGGAATTTAAATTTTCAGCGATTTCATTAAATTTGTATACAATCTGCAACAATATCTCAAATATATGTCACAAGCTACAAGAAAATGAGAGCAATAAAAGCGATTTCAAATGTTATCAACCTCTTGGGAACTGTAGACTCTTATCGAATGACATACATAACCAGAATATATCAAATCATGAATGACTTCAAGAGTAAATTGATATGGAAAGGAGTCGAGTTTGATAAGCGTTAATTTTCTCCCTCAAAATTTGCTTAGAAATGAATACCGGCGTTCAAATACATACATGTGAGGTTTAATGCTTCTTCAATATCACAGCTCTTACTTTTGACATTTAATGCTTGCAATTTTAGAACAAGTTGTTGTTATTGGCAAGTCATTATTTCTACTCTGTGTATTCAAATGGAAAAAACTTATCCCCTGTGGCAGCGGATTCAATGGCTAAAAAATAATTAAAATCAAATTAAGAAATTATAAGTGTTATTGGAAATTTACAATATCACCAAAAATAAAAACACATAAAACGAATCAATATAAAATTACATCATAATTATAGAATAAAACTTAAAATAGCCAAATAAAAATTTTCATTATTGATTTATGTAATTTTTATAAGAAATATAGTTTATAATATAGAAGGTATAAGAATATTAACAAGTAAAAAAGGTTAAGATCGGTCGGGCCGAACTTATAATACCCTCAACCTTAGGGTATATAATAGTATATAAAAGTATCTGACTTTAAGCGTGTTTCACTTTAAACTTCATATACCAGTAAGACCGTTTATCAAAAAACTATATAGTAAGTGAGGACGTTATATGGGGTCTAACCAAAACGAGAACCTCTATAGACAATTTTATTCTTCAGGGATTGTCTTCTATCAAATCTTCCAAAATACCCAATATAAAGCAAAAATGTGGATAAATGTGACTAGGATTATAAAAATACCGAATATCGGTGGGTATCGTTATATGTGCGCTATAGGAAAACGTGGAACTAAGTATTCAATGTTCTGCCACCGGCGCTAGAACCCATTATTAACTACAAATACCAATTTATATCAAAATATCGAATATCGGCAGGTAACCTAGACCTATGCGTTCAATGTTTCGCCAACGGAGCTAGAACCCATTATGACCCAAAAATACCAATTTTTAGACAAATCCCCGAAAAAATGTTGCAAAAATCATCAAAATACCGAATATCGGGAGGTACCGGTATATGGGGACTATACCAAAACATGGACCTATACATACGATGTTTCGCCACACGAGCTAGAACCCATTATGACTTACAATTTTTAGACAAATCCGTGAAAAAATTTGGTGCTGAGTCCTGTTGGAATGTCCAAGGTCTGCGGCCCAAGGCTTTAATACACCCTCCAGAATATTTTCGCGATAATATTCGGCATTTTTTCTGATGCCACGGTCGATTAATACGAGCGGAGAGCGACCATCGGCTGTTATGGCGGCCCACACCATCACCATGGCCGGCGCTTGAGTTATGGTGGCCAACCGAAGGTGCACATGTTCAGCTGACCTCTTTGGCAAGTAAGCACGATTATTTTGTTTGTTTACAAACTGCAGTTCACCATTTTCAGCCAAGCGAAGCAACACTTTAGCTCGTTTGGGTCTATTTTCTTTCTGTTGCGGTGTAGTTCTTGCACTTTTTGGAATTTTAATAGCTGAGCTCGGGTTAAGCTTGGTTTTCAATATTTGCCGAATGGAATATTGCGATATGTGCAGCACACGAGCCATTTTCGGCCACTGCGACGCGGGTTTCGATCAAGTCGCTTCTTTACTTTTCAAACCATGTCTGCTGATGTTGCTGTTTTCTTTCGTCCACTTCCTTGACGTCGGGCTACGCTACCAGTATCACGAGCGATGGTACGATACACAAAAGATTTATTCACATTTAAATGCTGGAGTGCTCTAAGGATAGCAACTTGTGGTTTCCAGCCAAATATAAAGAAATCACACTATCACGCTTGAATTCCATCACAAATAAGTGGAAAATTCTCACCAAAATGCTTTTGTACGCTTGTAAACAATAAAATGAGCTGTCACTGGAATAATTTTAATAGCTGTCGGCCGAGTGGGTTTGATATGACAGCAGTCTGAAGTTGGTTGCAGTTTTTTCATCTCACCCTGTATTATGTCGATCTTTGTTTACGTATACATAAGTTGTTTGAGAAGCACTGAGCCATGTACGTAAGCTCTATCTCTCCACTTTTCTAGAGCATGTAGCCTAGCAACAATTGATTTGTATTGAGGGTCTTAGCCGGCAAAATAGTTGTTATCCAACTGATCATGAATGGTGCCACGTCAAAGTTATATAGAGAGTAATCTATTACTAATGGGCTGACTTTGTTGAAGATGCCTTCCAAATTAAAAGAAGGCAGCTAAAGTGTATTGTGTGTGCTCCAAGAACATGTCAATAGTCCTAACCACCAGAAGATATGTGGTATGGGTTCTCAATCTTTTCTTGAATATGTACATCGATGTGTCTTTCGAGTAGTTTAAGCTGGATGATGGAAGTTTTATAGGTTAAATTTTAAGTAGACCCTTAAAAGGCTCTTCCTTCAGACTTCTTGAAAAGAGTAAGATCTATTTCATCTGTCTTGGGAGATACTCTATTAACAAACAATTTTTGCAAGTAATTCCATATGAAAAGACCTTTTAGAGGTTCGTGTGCCTATACAAGTGGTCTTAAAACAAATACGTACAAGAATTTTTCCTCACATCGAATAGCTTTCGTGTAAAACCCATTTTTATTTAATTGAATTGTGCTCAATATTTATGACCACATACTTTCATTTGCAGATTGTATCAATTTATATATGGAACACTGGCTGTCATTTAATTGATAATAACATTGATATGTAATAGTAGATGAATAACTTATGTACAGAAACATATGCTGTATAAGAGTTGTTCATAAGGGCCTTTATTAAGAGCAAGACATCACTGGAAATAATGTTTCCAGTTTGGTCTGCTATTTTAATTATAATAGCGGTTTAAACCAGCTCCAAGTTGAAATTGAAAATATTTGGTTTTCCATGAAACAATCATTTGCATATGTAGGCACATGAATAGACCCAAATACAAAATATTGTTGGCGAAATATTATTGTTGCCAAATCCATATTACGAATGTGAGGGACTTAAAGACCAAATCGCATGAAACATACTCCATATGGGAGCTAAAGCTATATCTGAACCAATTTTCACCAAATTGGATGTACTTACTTCTAGACTGAATTCGGTCGGATGTGCCAAAATTCAGGGCATTTGGACTGCTATTGGCTTTTTGGTGCACAATTAACCCGAAATCGGTTGAAGAAATATATGGGAGCTATATCCCAATCTGAACCGATCTTGATAAAATTTGGCAGAGGTATTTATGGGCTGTATCTGTATATTACGAATGTGAGGGACTTAAACACCAAATCGGATGAAACATATATATGGGAACGATTTTAACCAAATTTAATTTACTTGCTGGTACCAAAATTCAGGACTTTCGGACTAATATTGGCCATTTGGTGCCTAATTAACCAGAAATCGGTTGAAGATATATGAGAGCTATATTTAAAGCTGATCCTATTATCACTAATTTCAATATGGTTCGTCCTTAGGCCAAACAAATGTTGTTTGAAAATTTTCATCTCAATCGGATAATAAATGCGATCTGCATTTTGTCCACAAGAATACATGGACGGGTGGACGGTCTGACATGCATAAATCGACACAGAAAGGGATTCTATGAAGATCCTCCAAAGTAACTATGGATCTATCTCGCTTCCTTCCAAATGCACAAAGACATAATACACTTACCACAATGTGGTGTAGGGTATAAATATGTTTAAAAAATGGAACAAAGACCCTCAAAGCATATATTTAAAAATCTAATATTATTAAAATATATATGTAAGAAATCCAGGATTATTGGTCTTTGAAAAAAATGTTTAAACATTAATTAATATAGCTTAGTTTGTCTTTGAAAATATATGAAAAATCGGCGTTTTCAGCTCATTTTGTCCTTGAAAAATATCCAAGATTGTAGATGAGATAATCTTTAGAATTTTTTAAAAATTTAGAATGTAAACTGAATGTATTTGTCTGATATTGGGATTTTCTGGTAACGTTATTATTTGCAACATTATTGGAATATCGCTGGAGTCGTATTGCTACACAACATTTGGTGTCTTTGGTATGGTCTTTTATTTTCTTTCCTTATGATATTATCAGTGGCCTGGGAAAACTTTCTATGAGCAATTTTGCTTATTCCAAATAAGCTACTATTCTTCGTCGAAAGTCAAGGTTGCGGATTTTACTTATTCAACTTGATATCTTCTTCAGAACCATAGGAATATTGTAATCAATATATTTGTATTGATGGTATTCCATAAAAGAAATATTTTAATCGCTTGTTATTGCATTCCTTTTTTATAGTTCATTGAGCACCGGGAATTGCATATGATTACATATCCCATTTGCATATCTACATAACATACATACGTATGGCATCTATATACGTATTGAAAATATTCTATGTATACACACACTATTATTACTCGCAACTGCAATGAATGATCACTTTGTATCATTACCCCCCGTCTAGCTCTGAGAGAATCATCTACACACAATAGGAACTAAGATATTAACATTCCAACATACCTGAACTATCTCTGGAAGATTTGTGATATCTGTCTCTATCCGAATCTCGATCATAGTGTCTTCTATTTCGTTCATCATGCTAGTTTAATAAACAAAAATGGAATTTTTATATACATTTTTATTTTTCCAATATTTGCAAAATATCTACCTCAGCATGGTGATAATGATGGTGACGGCTGCGATCGTAGGAACTTTTGTTTTTATCTGAATAATTGTGACGTCCACCCATTGTTTGGCAATATATATGTTTAATAATAGCACATCCTTTATTGAATAATTCTAAAACTGCCCAAATTTGTGAAATATGCAGCAAAGCAACTGGTATAAAAATATTTTTCCAAAACACAACACTCTCAGCCAGACAAAAACAAACTGACAGTTAAACATATGTTTGACTGCTGTCAATATCCTGTTAGTAATGCCAATGTGTATTTTTTTGGCCGTGTTAATTTGTTGTTGCAGGGATTTTCGGAGCGCCAAAATGGTTATTTTTAAAAAGGATGTTATAAAAGAAAACGCCTGGCATAACATAGGGTGATTTTTTAAGAAACGTATACTATTCCTTATTCCAAAGAAGAATTAGTAAAAACAATAATAAATAAATAAAACACGTTAAAAAAATTAAAAAAATAATAAATAAATAAAATACCTCTAAAATTTTGTTTGAATCATAAAAAATCCGAATATAGGAAGTTACCGTTATATCTATACGAAGACATAAACTTGCATAGGCAAGTTTTGTATAGGTCATTACAATATTCAAATTCAAAAAAAAAAAAAAAAAACATCGAATGAAGTCGCTAAAAGAACAAAATACCGAATATAAGAAGGTATCGTTATATTGGATATATACGAAGACGTGGACCTGCATACGCAGTATTTTGTTACAGTCTATAGTACCCATTACGAAATTTGAAACAATTCCAGTGAATAAAGTCGCTGAAATCAGAAACCGCGGTAGGTATCCTTATATGAGGTCTATAAGAAGACGTGAACCTCCACCGACAGTTTTCTGTCATGGGTTGTATGATCCATTACAAACTTCAAATACCAAATTTGAAACAGTGCCGTTATATGGGGGCTATACAAAAACGTGGATACAATGTTTCGCAAAAGGAGCTAGAATCCGTTGCGAGCTACAGATACCAATTTTCAGACAAATCCGTGGCAATGTGGCTAAATACATCAAAATACCGAATATCTGGAGGTACCATTATATGAGGCTATACAAAAACGTGGACCTGCACAGACCATTTTCTGTAATAGGCTGTAGTATCCATTACGAACTTCAAATACCATTTTTTGGACAAATCCATGAAAAAATGTGGGGGCTATGCAAAAACTGCACAGATCTTCATTCTGATCTTCATATTATCTAATGTATATTATTAGTTTGTTAAAAACAGTACATGTTTTTAGTACTTTTACTTTTGAGATATGTATGTACACTTATTTAAGGCTTGTTGCTTTGTTGCTATCACGTCCTTCATTTATTATTAATATTAATCCCTTTTTTTAATTTTTGTGTAGTTATGGCTGGGGAGCCAAATATATTGACTTAGTTAAAATTAGTTTTAAGTTATTATTTTCTACTTGGAGCATAATTACGTTATTAATACTATTCATTGGCCCTGGAGGCTTTAGTATTATGGTATGAAATGAATAAATAAATAAATAAATTTTCTGTAATAGGCTGTAGTATCCATTACGAACTTCAAATACCAAAATTTGAAACAATTCCGCTGAATAATGTCGCTAAAATCATCATAAACTCGATGGCTATACGAAGATCGTGGACAATTTTCTGTCATACCCTGTAGTATCCATTACGAACTTTAAATTCCAAATTTGAAACAGTGTCTGTCAATAATGTCGCTAAAATCATCAAAATACCGAATATCGGGAAGTGCCGTTATATACATGGATTCATGGTACAATGTTTCGCAAACGAAGCTAGAATCCATTGTGAACTAAAAGTACCAATTTTTAGACGAATCCTTGAAAAAATGTGGCAATGACCATCAATATACCAAAAATAGGGAGGTACCGTTATAAGGGGGCTATGCAAGAACTTGGACCTATACATACAATGTTTCGTCACACGAGCTGGAAACCATTATGACCTACAAATACCAATTTTTAGACAAATGCGTGGAAAAAATGAGGTAATATTCATCAAAATACAAAATATCGAGAGGTACCGTTATATAGCGGCTATATCAAGACGGTATATCTCATTTTTAAATACCAACCAACCCTGTCACAATACAAATTGTTCTGCTAAATTTTGAAGCTCAAATAATGTGGTATTTCAACAGACAGACGGACATAGAATTTTCAATCAACTTAGAATTTTATGCTGATTATGAATATATTTATTCGGAATTGGAAAGTTAATATATCCTCCCTTCCAAAGTGGAGGGTATAAATAAATTATTTACAAAATTTCTGCCCCCGAAATTTCTCGACAAATATATCTCTTTGCTTTATAGCATGTTTCCATTGAAAACCGAACAACGTTCGCTCTCAGAATTAGGTACACGAATTAACCCGTTCATACGGCACGATTCGTAATTCATAGTAAAATAATTCCTTTTTTCAAAAATTTTGTTTGTTGATTTCAATGGGAATATATACGAAAATACATGAAATTCTCACTAATATGAATAGAAGAATTTATTGTTTTCCTCCCAAAGATTTATTATATCATTAATTTTACAATTTTCATTCACGATTTCAACTTTTTGTGTAAATGTTCACATTTTGAACACATTTTTGTGATTTTCCATTTTTAAATTCTGCTGGAGAGACACTTGTCAAACATTTTTTTTGCCGATAGAAACATTTTGAAAATGTTGCCTCTTTTGTTTGCGTTTTCTGTGGAAATTTTAACTCGTGGACAAAATGCGTACCTCGAATAAAAGAGAAAACAAAATTTACTTTCGTTTGAATGTACATACGCCATTCAACATTGTAGTTTTCATTCATAATTTTCAGTCTTCCCAAAAATTTTTAAAATTTCATAAAATTTTTCTATTTTTAATTTTTAAATGTCACAATTTATTTTTTCGATAAATGCTCTCATTTGTTAGGGATGGGACATATTTTTTCGTTGTTCTGAGAGTGATTTGATTTGAACAACGTACAAATATGAGTGTTCGCTCAGGAAATTTTGTGTGAAGAATTAGGTAGTTTTTTCATAGTTAAGGGTCAAACAACGAATAGAGAGCGAATCAAGTGCAGTGGAAACGCCACATTAAATGTTATTGTTTTACATTTTTGCTATGTTCTACCAGTTTTGCAATTTTCTAATATAACATAAAGTGAAAATCGGTCATCGAAGTGAAAAGTCTTAACTTCTTGTAATGCTGGAACAGACCTTTTCTTAGAACAAGAATTGAGCGCCAGATGTTGACTCACGAAATTAAAATATCTTGGCAAAGGGAATACAAAAAGTGAAAAGTCATGGTTATACATAATTTTTGAGAAAATCAAATTTAAACCTCTTAATTTTTTCTTATTTCACGTTTTTATTTAAATCGACGTTTATAAAAACTCCGCTGAATTGACAACACTGAAAACTTCTTTGTTTTCCTTGTTTTGTTTTGCAAAATAATAACAAAAATCAGCTGTTATTTTTAATAATTATAATTCTCCTCTCCTCTTTTTTTTGTTGTTATTTTTTGTTCTCAGCGATAGCACGTTTCGCAGCGTTTGCGTTTAGCTTGCTCACGGAATCATCATCATTTGGCAAGCTAAACAAATAAACAACGGTCGCGGTTTGTGGAAACCCTTCTCCTTTTGGTAGTTGGGAAAAAGAGACGCCTGAATTAGAGGATTGCAGACGCCCCCAAAGGAAAACACAACACAATGGAAGACACAACTCATTCGGCAATGGATGAGTTTTGTGGTTCGAAATTCTGGGTAAGTTTTGATTTCATTCAATGTTGGTGTTCGTTTATCCCACACTCGATACACACGCATATAGAAAGAGCAATGTGTTTTATAATCACTTTAATTTGTTGCTAATATTTACCTCCCATGCCACATTGCCGCCACCCACCCTCATCGACAAATGTGTGGGAAAATCATGACTAAAATAACCTTGTAATTCTACATTTTTTTGTTTATAGTAATTCATTGTTGTTGTTTTTTTTTCTGAACAAATCTCTTGCAGGATCTCAACGAAACCTGGTATACATTTGATCCTGATTTTACACCCTGCTTCGAACAAACCGTTCTAGTATGGGCACCATGTGCCTTCTTCTGGGCATTTTGTATATTCGATTTTTACTATCTGAAGGCCAGTCTAGATAAGAATATACCATGGAATAAATTAAACATAAGTAAATTATTGCTGACCTTGGGTCTACTAGTGCTGACAGCCATTGACTTTATAATGGCAATGGTGGGAAAGGGCAATGAAGACACAGCCGATTTTATCTATCCGGTTGAAATATGGACGCCCGTCATAAAGTTTGCCACATTTGTAAGTATCTATTAAATTTGATGTAATATTGTTTGAATGATTGATTTTGATAATCGAAATACCGTTATTCAAGTGGTTTGGACGGTGTCTTCTGTTGGAAAAAAGCTTTTGAAGTTTGAAGATAAGCTAACAAAAAAACACAAATTGTTTGTCTACAATGTAAATATTTTGAACAAGGGCTGACAATAGTAATTCAAATTTATATATTACACATTTCATCTCTAGATACAAGAGAGCAAAACTATAAACTGTGTGCAGTTGTAAAATGATTGTTTATTTTAATTTTAGTAGTTTTTTTTTATAGGAAGTGGTTTTCTAATATCAATATTATTTATAGAAATTGTAAACTATGTAGATTTCTATTTACGTATATCCAGCACATGTATGTGATACTTAACAATTTCATTTATAGCTTAGTAATATTTTCTGCGCATAGTTCCTCGTTGTTTCCAATCATATTTTGAAAGTCATGCAGTGGATAATCGCTTGAAATGAATCATAGAACATTACTCATGTTTTCGGATAATTCCGATAACGTCTACGTCAGTTAAGAAAGTTAATACCTTATCCATGTCATGTAGAAACCGAATCGTTTGTATTTTTGTCTTATCCAAGCCATTTGGAATATGTAGATACTTAACAGAAGTCATTTGGAAATATATATCATTATCTAATACATGTGGATATGGTAGATACCTTCTTTTGATAACATAGATACTTATCTGCACAATTTATATAACAAAGATATTTTATCCGGGTAATTAGAATAATATAGGAATCTCTTTCACGATATTTGGTGACGTATATGCATTATACGGGCAATTTGGATAACATAGATGGTTTATCCAAGCCTTTGAATAACAAACATATTTTATTCGCCCTATTCGGATACTCTAGATACCTAATCCACGACAATTGGATGAATTAGATACTTTATCCAACTAATTTGGATAACACAGGTACCTGATCCATACTATTTAGATTACGTAGATACATTATCCACAGCATTTGGATAACGTGGATGGCTTATCTAAGGCGTTGGATCGTAAAAACATTTTATCCGTGCTATTCGGATAATGTAGATACCTTATCCACGACATTTGAATAATACATTATCCGCGGCATTTGGATAACATACACGGCTTATCCACGTCATTTGGATAATGCAGATACATTATACGCGGTATTTGGATAACAAAAATATTTTATCCACGTCATTTGATTAACATAGTTATCTATCCACATCATTTGGATAACGTAGATATCTTATCCACGTCCTTTGGATAATAGAGAAATTTATCCACATCATTTGGATAACGTGGATACCTTATCCACAACATTTGGCAACCATAGATTCTTTATTCACGCTATTTGGAGAATGCAGATACATTATCCCATAATTTGGATAACGTAGATACATTATCCGCGACATTTGGACAACATAGTCCACATATCTACGTCATTTGGATAACAAAAACATTTTATCTACACTCGCTGGATAATGTTAATACCTTATCTACGGCATTTGGATAACGTATATGCTTTTTCCACGCTACTTGGATGTTGTAGAAACCTTGTCCACGACATTTGAAAACATAGTTTTTTCCACGCTATTTGGACCATGCAGATACATTATCCGCGGCATTTGGATAACGTAGATACATTATTCGCGACTTTTGGATAACATAGATAGCTTTTCCGCGTCATTTGTATATCAAAAACATTTTATCCACACCAGTTGGATAATGTTGATACCTTATCTAGGACAATTGGGTAACGTAGATACTTTATCCATGCTACTTGGATAACGCAGATACATTATCCGTGGCATTTTGATAACATAGATGGCTTATCCACGCTATTTGGATAACGCAGATACATTATACGCGGTGTTTGGATAACAAAAACATTTATCCACGTCATTTGAATAACATAGATACTTATCCACATCATTTGGATGACGTAGATACTTTATCCACGACATAGATTCTTTATCTACTCTGTTCGGATAGCGTAGATACTTTATCTAAGCTATTTGGATAACACAGATACGTAATATAAACTCAAAAATATTTTATCCCCGTCATTTGGATAACATAGATACTTATCTGAAACATTTGGATAACGCAGATACCTTATCTACACCATTTGGATAACACAGATGGATGATGTAGATATTTTATCCACAATATTTGGAAAACATAGATTCCTTATCCACGTTATTTGGATAACGTAGGCACCTTAATCACGCCATTTGGACAACATAGATACTTATCCGAAACATTTGTATAACGTAGATACCTTATCCACTCTATTTGGATAACGTAGATACATTATCTGCGATATTTTAAAAGCATATCTTTTTATTATCTCTCTCTTTACATCTCAACATTCAATATTAAATTTCTCTCTCTCTCTCTCTCTCTCTCTCTCTCTCTGTTGCAGGCTCTCATACTGATCTTCATTCCATTGAATCGCAAATATGGCGTCCAAACATCCGGTTGTCAATTCCTATTCTGGTTCCTATTAACAATATTCTCAATTCCTAGATGTCGCACCGAGGTGCGAGCTGAACGCATTCGTTCACAAGTGGTAGAGTCGTCGCTGAGTGATCAACCGGATTATTCATGGGATGAATATAAATATGTTAGTTTTATGATCTATTTTGCTTTTTGCTGTGCCATGCTGTTTCTGAACTGTTTTGCCGATGCCAGACCGAGGGAAACCAAATATCAGCGCACGGATAAGGAGATACCCGAAAATTCAGCCAGTTTTCTGTCACGCATTACGTACCAATGGTTTGATACCATGGCCTGGAGAGGTTACCGAAATCCCTTGGAAGAAAAGGATTTGTGGGATTTAAGGCCACAGGACAGCTGTAAGGAAGTTATGCCTATCTTTGCCTACTATTGGAACAAGAATGTGCGTAAGAACTATAAAGTCGATCCCAATCAACCAAAGGTGAAATTCAGCAATGGCAAGGTTTCGTTTGACAATCCTCATGGTGCCAAGAATGGCAAGAAGAAGGGTGATGCCTCAATTATGCCTCCCATTATTAAATCATTTGGTGGAGTTTTCCTCTTTGGATCCATGATGAAGTTAATGACCGATGTCTTGACATTTGCCCAACCCCAAGTGCTGCGTTGGATTATTGGCTTTGTGGAAGATTATGAAGACGAGAAACAACCACAATGGAAGGGTATATTCTATGCAGTACTACTTTTCCTTTTGGCTGCTGTACAAACAATAATCTTGGGTCAATATTTCCATCGCATGTTCATTGTGGGTCTACGTATTCGTACGGCCTTGATTAATGCTATTTATCGCAAAGCTTTGGTTTTGTCCAATGCCACGAGGAAAGAGTCGACAGTGGGTGAAATTGTCAATTTAATGGCTGTGGATGCTCAACGTTTTATGGATTTAACAACCTATTTGAATATGTTGTGGTCGGCTCCGTTGCAAATCGGTTTGGCTTTGTATTTCTTGTGGCAATTGTTGGGTCCCTCCGTTCTGGCCGGTCTGGCTGTAATGATTGTTTTGATTCCCGTCAACGGTGTTATTGCCAATCGCATCAAGACCTATCAAATACGACAAATGAAATACAAGGATGAACGTGTCAAACTAATGAATGAAGTTTTGAGTGGTATTAAAGTGAGTGAGATAAATATGTGTGTGGCTGGGTTATTTCTAAAATTCATTTTTCTTTTAGGTTTTGAAATTGTATGCCTGGGAGCCTAGCTTTGAGAAACAAGTGTTGGAGATCCGTGAGAAAGAAATTGCCACCCTGAAATCTACAGCTTATTTGAATGCCAGTACCTCGTTCTTGTGGTCTTGTGCCCCATTCTTGGTAAGTCCTCGCTAACTTTGGAAAAAAGCGCAAAGTTTTAATTTCTTTTCAGCTGATGCCCTGGAGATGTAACGCCACGTCATATATGTAAACAAAAATGATGTCAAATAATTTTATTGAATTTCTTTTAAATCCTCCAAAATTAAGATTTCTCTGATAACCTTTGGCACTTATGTTTTGGTCAGTGATGAGAACGTTTTAACACCCACCAAGGTGTTTGTGGGTCTGTCACTTTTTGAAGCAATGAATTTGCCCATGATCACAATACCAATGTTAATGGTGGATATTGCAGAGGTATATACAACAAAAAGAAAAAGAACCTAACAAGCCACCAAAAACTCATGGAATAATATCAATACAGATTCATATTATCAACAAAAACCTCTTATCTACCAGCAAAGCTTTTTGAGTCGAGAAAAGAAACATCATCGAAGGGTTATTGGATTCTACAACATCAACATATCGATTACAACTTTCCTTCTTTTTTCTTATTCTTATATAACTATCTCTTCTTCTTTCTTGTTACATGCCATTTTATTAAATTCTCTTACATTTTTTTTCAATTATTATAGGTATCATTGGTCACATTTGCCACATACGTTCTAATTGATGAAAATAATGTTCTCGATGCTACTAAAACATTTGTCTCATTATCATTATTCAATATCTTACGTTTCCCATTAACCATGTTGCCCATGTTGATATCGAATTTGGTTCAAGTAAGTTTTTCCAAGCCACTACTTCTTGTCCTTCATGGGAAAGAAGATAGTTTTGTGTGTTATGTTTTGTTTAGAGAAATCTTTTCAAAAGGTTGTTCCAATTATCTGTTGATCTGGATTTGGCTTGTGCAACCTTTCAAAAGATTTCTTTTGTTTGTTCCCTTGTTTGTTATTGCCTGTTTATTGTAATTTGTAATAATTCCCTCCACCTTTTACAATTATTCCCCACCTCAATCCTTAATGTTGTATGTGTTATACTGTTACATTCCAAATGTATCCCTGTGAGAGCCTTCCCCTAAAATAAGTTTTGATAAAATTGTTTAATCATTATTTGATAAAATTGTTTAATCCTTAGAATTAATGCTTTAAAAAAGTTTATGTTCTAGTTTTTATTTTGTAAATATTTTCGTTATTTTTTGTATTAATTATCTAACAATTTAAATTAATCCCCCCTTTGATCCAATCCTCTTAAAACACATACCTATTTTTATGAATTTAAATCAGAATCGTGTTCGATTATTATATATGTCCCTTAATTTCTTTGAAAATTTTCGCTGATTTGGTTTTCCCATATTCTATTGTTTTTTTATACCCTGAGTCATAGGGCTAGGGAGGGTATATTTGATGCGTCCAAAACGTGCATCATCGTAATATCGTGTTTTTAGATTAGGTCTCTTTGGGCCAAATCCGTTTCAGGACAATTGGAGTCGATCTAGCGATGTCCGTCCGTCTGTCTGTCTGGCTGGCTGGTGCGCACGATAACTCTCGAAGGGAGGGAAGGGATCCGATTTGATCTAAACTTGGTACATCGTAATATTATTGTCAAACTTAGATCGAGTTCGGGGATGTGCAATATCGGTCCACACCTTCTGGTACCTCCCCCACAAAATGTCAAAATTTTCAAAGAAAATAATTTACTGCACAGAAAGAGAAAATATAATCCGATGTTTCTCAAACTTTGTCATGTGCGAAAATGGATAATATCGGTCCACTTCATCCAGTACCTGCCCCGCAAAGAGTCAAAATTTTGAATAATTACAACTCCAATAAAATGTGTTGTAAGAGTCCGATTGTCTTCAAATTCCATGCATTCCAATAATTGTATTAACCCAAGGTCTGGCGTGAAGATGGAATATATCGGTCTACTCTTTCTGGTACCTCCCCCCACAAAAGGTCGACATTTTCAAAAAAATATATTTTCTGCACAGAAAGAGAAAGGATAATACGACTTTGCTCAAACTTTGCAATTCCTAATGTTTGCATCAGTGCTAGGTCAGGTGTGAAAATGGACAATAGCGGTACACTCCATCAAGTACCTCCCTGCAAAACTCCAAAATTTTTAATAATTATAACTCTTATAAAATATGATGTAAGGGTCTGACTGTCTTCAAATTTCACACATCCCAATAATTTTATTAACTAAATGTGTGGTGTGAAAATGGAATATATCGGCCCACTCCTACTGGTACCTCCCCCACAAAGGGTCAAAATTTTGAATATGCATGAAGCTCATAAAACACGAGATTGATATCCGATTCCATTCAGACTTGGGACATCTCAATATTTCCATAAACACAGGATCTGTTATAAAGATGGTAGAGATCGTCCAATTCTTCTGGTACCTCTTCCACAAAGGGTTAACATTTTGAAAATTCAAAACGATCAAAATATCCGAAATAAGCATCCGATTCTCTTCATATTACACACATTACAATATTTTTATTAACTCATGGTGTGAAGAGGGAATATATCGGTCCACTTCTTCTGCTACCTCCCCCACAAAGGGTTAACATTTTGAGTAACCATGAAACTCACACAACGCGAAAATAACGCCCGATTACACTTAGACTTGGTACATCTCAATATTTCCATCAACACAAGATCTGTTATAAATACGGTAGAGATCGGACTATTCCTTCTGGTACCTACCCTACAAAGGGTCAAAGTTGTGAATAAACAAAACGATCCGGTTCTCTTCATATTTCACACATCTCAACAATTTCGATAACACAATATCTGTTATAAAGATGGTAGAGATCGGACCATTGATTCCGGTACCTCCCCAAATAGGCTTCAAGATTTGAAAAACAAAACGCGAATTAATCATCCAACTCTCTTCAAATTTCACACATTCAAATATTTTTGCCAATGCAAGATCTGTTGTGAATACGATATATACCTGGCAACCCCTTCTTGCACCTCACCACAATTTAACCAGAAATCTGATATGAATATGTATTTTACCGGAATTTATGACTTCGCATAAAATTGAATATAAAATTTCGATTTTCACATACCAATATTTGTATCTGTATTAGATGAAGTATGAAAATGGAATACTTTGGTCGACTATATCTGTTAGCTCACGCATATTTCCACACTTTCCAAAAAAATTTTTTAGTAGTCGATATAGTCCATTTCTGGCACATTGTAATATTTATAACAGTCTTAGGTCAGATCTCTCGGCAAAACCGACTGATATTATTTTACTTGTTTTTTTTTTTTTTTTTTTTTTTTTTTGAAATCAATTTTATTAATCTCATCTTGCCCAACAAACATTTTTAATGTAAAATGGCACCTTCCAAAATTTCAAGAAAAAAATTCATTTTCCAAAGCCTTTATTTACAAACAACAAACATTTTTTGACTGCCCCTTTTTTCCTTTACCAAAAATCCTCATCCTAAAAAAAAAATCTTCCCTAATTTTTTTTTACCACACACATATCCTCATTACAAACAAAGCCTTAACCTAAAACCAAAAACCTCCACAGCTAATTTTATTCCTTGACACATTTTTAGACAGCCCTTAACTTTTCCTTCACCAAACATCCTCATCCCAAATTAAACCCCTAACCTGATACAATTCAAAAAATTTTCTTTGCATTATTAGACTGCCCTAAAATTTCCTTTAACAAATACATATCCTAATCCCAAATAAAACCTGAAACAAAAAAATCCTTGCACCTCATTCCATTCCTTGAAATCAAAATCCACTTAAATAACTAACAATACCTGGTGTTAAACATTAAATTGCCCCATAACAAAAATTATTTAATTTTGTAATAATAATTTGTTTATTAATTATTTTGTTATGGATTTAACATTTTCTGTTTTGGTTTTGCTTAAACAATGCATGTTTTGTGTGTTAACGTTTTGTTGTTACTTTTGACTAATCTTAAACCTTCTGCCCCTAGACACAAGTCTCTGTGAGTCGTATCAATAAATTCATGAACAGTGAAGAATTGGATCCCAATAATGTACAACATGATCCCAAGAAACGTAAGTCCAGAGAATTTCATATGATTCATTCATATCCTTCTATTAACCTCTCTGCTTCCCATACAGCCCATCCTTTGTCCATTGAAAATGGTACTTTCTCGTGGGGCGATGGTGAAATTACCCTGAAAAACATCAACATGCATGTCAAGAAGAATACCCTCTGTGCCATCGTTGGTACTGTGGGTTCGGGTAAATCTTCCGTGGTTCAAGCCTATCTGGGAGAAATGGAAAAAATTTCCGGCACTGTTAATACCGTTGGCTCAATTGCCTATGTACCCCAACAGGCATGGATTCAAAACTCAACGCTGCGTGATAATATTCTCTTTGGCAAACCATATGATCGTAAACGTTATAATCGTGTCATCGATGCCTGTGCCTTACGTCCCGACATTGAAATGTTGTCGGCTGGCGATCAGACAGAAATTGGTGAAAAAGGTATTAATTTGTCGGGTGGTCAAAAGCAACGTATTTCCATGGCTCGCGCCGTGTACAGTGATGCTGATCTGTATTTCTTGGATGATCCTTTGAGTGCTGTCGATTCACATGTAGGCAAACACATTTTCGAACAGGTTATCGGACCCAAAGGTCTGTTGGCCAAAAAGACCAGAGTTTTGGTTACCCACGGTATTACATTCTTGCCACAAACCGATAACATTTATGTCATGAAATTGGGTGAAATCAGTGAAAATGGCACCTATCAAGAGCTGTTGAACAAAAAGGGAGATTTCTCCGATTTCCTAATGCAACATTTGCAAGAAGGCGGCGAGGAGGCTGAAGATTTGGATGTTATTAAACAACAATTGGAGGGTACACTGCAATCGGATGAATTGAAGAATCAATTCCGCAAAGTTATTACATTGGCCAAACAGGAAAGTTTATCGGATTCGGTGTAAGTTTTCGGAATGGTAATGTGAAAAACTTAAATTAAAAATTGATTTTTTTTTGGTTTTTAGTTCCGTACGCTCCTTTGAAAGTGGTACCAGCAGCTTAAGACGCCGCAAACGCATGGATTCTCAAACATCCGTCACAACGGTGGCATCCAAGAAGGATATGGAAGAACAGGGCAAACTTATTGAGACTGAAAAATCACAAACTGGTGGTGTAAGTAGAAATTTTATTAGCTTTTCAAATCTATGAGAGATTCGTAAAAGGTCTTTTTAGGGTCCCTACAGAGAGAATCTTTCAAAATTTTATGAAAATAAGGCCTTTTAGAAGTCTTCCTATAAGCAAGGCCTTTAAGAGGGTTTTTGTTGAAATTTAAAAAACTTCTCAAATCTATGAGGGACTTTTGAAAGATATTTTATCTAAAGTATAGTTTTCAAAGGTTATTTATAGAGAATTGTAGAAAAACAGGCATCTAGGGGTCTTGTTTTTTCGTAAACCTTTTAAAGGTTTTCTGTCTATAACTTACCTAGACCTGAAAGATCTGAAAAATATCTTGTAGTGACTATTTAAATAACATGATTAAAGGGTCTTCTCTCCTGAAAAGATCTTCTATTCCAAGGACACCTCTTCTATTTGTAAGAAAGCTATAAAAGGCCTACTTCCAAAGCGATCTTTAAATGACCTTCTACCCAAAAAATCCTGTAAAGTGTCCTATATCCATAAAGGAACTGAAAGGGGTCCTCTGTCCATAGAAAATCAAGGTTCCTCTATCAATAAATGAGCTGTAAGGGATCCTCCATGTAAAGAAAATCTGAAAAATATCTTGTAGAAATAATTTAAATAAAATTAATTAAAATAACGTAAAGGGTTCACTATCCAAGAACACCTGAAAAGGTCATCCTTTAAAGTGTCCTATATCCATATAGGACCTGTAAGGGGTCCTCTATGTAAAGAAGACCTATAAAATGTTTTATATTCATATAAAGTCACAGAATATTTCTTATCAATAGGAAGCATGTGAAAGGGCTTCTTCCTGCTAAAGATCTGCAATTGTAAACATTTCCTCAGACTTGTTATGGAGACCAGATCGTCAATTAATAGAAAATCTGTAAAATGTGCTGAACAGAACATCAAGGGGTAGAAGGCAAATAGGAATATTTTAAAAGATCTTTTATCTGAAGAAGGTCTTAGAGACTACTACTGTAAAGTAGCGGATCACTACTGCAGAATAGCTGGCCCTAAGAAGGCACTACTGTAGAGTAGCGGTCTTTAGAGAACTCTGCTGAAGAGTTAAGATGCTTTGCTGAGCAGAATCTGACCTCAGAAAACTCTGCTGAAGAGTAGCTGTCGTCTAAGGCCTCTGTTAAATAGTGGATATGCTCAATGTCCATAACTGTAAAGTAGCTGGGCGTCAAAAGAGGCCTCTGCTGAAGCTGGTCTCAGAAACCTCTGCTGAAGGGTAGCTATCCTCTGAGGCCTCTGCTGAAGAGTGGATGTCCACAAAGTCCATATCTGTAAAGTAGCTGGCTGTCAGAGGGCACTGCTAAAGAGTAGGTGACCTCAAAGACATCGGATGAAGAGTAGCTGAGCCCAAAGCTCACAACTGTAAAGTAGTTGGCAGTTGGAGGGCACTGCTAAAAAGTAGTTGGCCTCAGAAGCCTCTGCTGAAGAGCAGCTAAGCTCAGAGACCTTTTTGAAGAGTATCTGGCCTCTGGTGAAGAGTAGCTGACTTTCGCTGAAGAATGGGTGGCCCCAGAAACCTCTACTAAAGAGTAGCTGAGCTCTGAAACATCTGCTGAAGTAGGTGGCCTCAAATGGCTCTGCTGAGGAGTAGCTGGCCTCAGACACCTTTGTTGAAGAGTATCAGTCCTCAAAAAGCTCTGCTGGAGGGTAGCTGACCTAATGTAGGGTATCTGGCATCAGAGAAGAGTTACTGACCTCAGAGACCTTTGATGGGGAGTCCACAACTGTAGAGTAGCTGACCCTTAGTGGTCTCCACTGAAAATAACTGGCTTCGGAAATCTCTGCTAAATTGTTACTGAACTGAGTGGTCTCTGCTTACCAGTAGCTGGCCCCAGAAGCTACTACTGAAGAATGACTAGGCCTAACATCTAGGAGCGTCTGCTGAGGAATATCTGGCCCTCCGAGGCAAATAATGTAGATTGGATTGCCTCTGCCTTGAAAATTGCCAAATTCGTTCCAAATGGTGGAGGTAATTCAAAGTTCGGCCCGGCCGAAGTTACAGCTTTTTTACTTGTTTTTAAGTAAAATTTTGCTACTTATCGAAAGTTGACTACGGATTATTTTCTTAGAATACCTCTTAAGGGCTATTAGTTTCATAGAAATCCTATTAAAGGTCTATCTATGTAGACAACTTCCAAATGGTTTATATGTATATTGGAAGACCTGCAAAAAAATCGTTCATCTATGAAATATTTATAAAATGTCTCCTCTCTGTAGAAGATCGAAAGTTGACTACGGATTATTTTCTTAGAATACCTCTTAAGGGCTATTAGTTTCATAGAAATCCTATTAAAGGTCTATCTATGTAGACAACTTCCAAATGGTTTATATGTATATTGGAAGACCTGCAAAAAAATCGTTCATCTATGAAATATTTATAAAATGTCTCCTCTCTGTAGAAGATCGCAAACCCTCCTCTTAATAAAAAATAAACCTTCCTCTTAATAGAAAATATCTTAAATTTTCAAATAATTCAAATAATTTATTGTCCTCTCTCAATTTCAGGTTGAATTCGCTGTCTACAAACATTACATTAAGAGTGTGGGCATTTTCCTATCCATGGCCACATTGATATTGAATTTCGTGTTCCAAGCTTTTCAAATTGGTTCTAATCTCTGGTTGACAAAATGGTCCAATGACAAAAATGTGGCCAACGACACGGGTCTGCGAGATATGTATTTGGGCGTGTATGGTGCCTTTGGTTTTGGACAAGGTAAGTTCATTTGGTTTACCAATCGAACGGTGATGGTTTTAATTTTTAAAGTGTGTCTTAAAGAAAAAAAGAAAGAAATCGTGAAATTCGTCTCATAAATGTTGGGTTAAGGGTTTTATTTGTTATGGGTTTCTCTTTACTTACTTTACTTTACTTTTCCATGGCTTGTTTTAGTTTTATTTATAAATTTATTTATGTTTTAGAAATGTTTTGAACTTTTAGCATGTAAAGTTTTTTTGTATATATTGCATGTTTGTTTTTTATTTATTTATAAAGAATTTAAAAATTTTCGGCTTAAATGTATGTTATACAGTATTGTCTGTCTGGCTTCTTTGTAATTGGTTTGATTTTTTATTTATTTTTACTAATTTTCTTTATTTAACGATTTATTTCCTTTTTAATTTTGTAAACTTTTAACAACTGTAATCCACACATGCTGTTTTTTTAACAATAATAACACCTCTACCACCCACCTAACACACCTGCCGCACTAACATGCCTGAGTAGTTATAACCAGTTTCTTTTCAACCCTTGCTATTGGTTTGGGCGGTGTTTATTGTTCCAAAGTCTTACACGCCGTCATGTTGGACTACGTTTTCCGTTGGCCCATGGAATTGTTCGACACAACGCCATTGGGTAGAATTGTCAATCGTTTCTCTAAAGACATGGATACGGTTGATAATATTTTGCCATTGAATTTACGTGTTGTCATAACACAAGCATATTCGGTAATTTTGAATTCATTTAATTTTTAATTATATAATTTTTCATTCATTTCCATTTAAACGAGACATCAGAAAAATTTTGAAATTAATTGTACAACGAAATGCAGGGTGAGATAAAAAAAACTGCAACAAAGTCAAACGCCATAATTTTTAATTAATTTTTTTTTTTTAAATTTTATTGAGTGAAAACAAAAAATGTCGGAAATAGCATCAAATTTTAGAATAAGTTAAGATTTGTTCGAATTGGTTACCTTTGGCGCGAATTTTGGCCTTCAAACGGCCAATGAAACCGTCACACGCTGCCCAAATGTTGCTCTGCGGCATTTTGGCCTATTCCCGGCGAAGCGCTTGCTTGAGGTATTCAACGCTTTGGTGTTTTTTAGTGCCAACCATGCTTTCCAAAATACTCCAGGCACAATAGTCCAACGGATAGGTATCCGGAGATTTTGGTGGCCATTGTGGGCTGGAAATGAAGCGAGGAACCTCATTTTGTAACCATTCTTGGTTGGAGCGTGCTGAGTGCAATGGTGCTAAGTCCTATTGGAATGTCCAAGGTCTGCGGCCAAAATGTTTGCGTGCCCAAGGCTTTAATATACCCTCCAGAATATTTTCGCGATAATATTCGGCATTTATTTGCGGTCCAAATGTTTGCGTGCCCAAGGCTTTAATACACCCTCTACAATATTTTCGCGAAAATATTCGGCATTTATTCTGATGCCAAGGGTCGATTAATACGAGCGGAGAGCGACCATCCGCTGTTATGGCGGCCCACACCATCATTATGGCCGACAATTGAGTTCTGGTGGCCAACAGAAGATGTACATTTCAGCTGACCTCTTTGGCAAGTAAACACGATTATTTTGCTGGACAACTAATGTTTTCTCATCGGAGAAAACCAAATTCTGCAGTTTACCACTTTCGGCCAAGCGAAGCAACTCTTTAGCTCTTCGGAGTCTATTTCCTTACTGTTGCGGTGTAAGTTTTTACACTTTTTTGAATTTCAATGGCTTTATCCCGAGCTCATTTTTCAATATTTGCCGAATGGAATATTTCGATATGGTCAGCTCACGAGACATTTTTCGTCCACCGCGACGCGGGTTTCGATCAAGTCGCTTCTTTACTTTTCGAACCATTTCTGCGATGTGGCTGTTTTCTTCCGTCCACTTCCTTGGCGTCGGGCTACGCTACCAGTATCACGGTAACGAGCGATGGTACGATGGACATAAAAGATTTATGCTCTAACGATAGCCACTTGTGGTTTTTCAGCCAAATATAAAGAAATCGCACTACCACGCTTGAATTCCCACACGAATAACTTTTTTTCTGGAAAATTCTCACCAAAATGTTTGTGTTCGCTTGTAAACAATATAATGAGCTGTCAATGGAATAATTTTAACAGCTGTCGGACGAGTGGCTTAGAAATAGAAAGTCTGAAGTTGCTTGCAGTTTTTCCATCTCACCCTGTGCATTACATACCTTATGTCTATCTATAAGAAATATTCAAAGTGTTCGATAGTTTTATAAACCATCGATGATTTTATGAATTTATTCATGGTTTTTATGAAATTATTTTTTTTTTAATTTATTGAAATATTTATAGTATTTATTTAATATGTTAATAATTGAAACAAATTAATAGCAAAATGCTGGGAAAAGAATTGGATTGTCAGAAAATACTAATTACAAATTAATTTTAAAACACCTAAGCACCTTAACAGTATAACACACACACACGAACACATTTCACTGTAAATAAGCACAGTTTTTGATAGGCTTGCAAGCAAATCTCTCTTTTCTAGGAACCTACCAAATGGTGGTTCCATAAAAACCCATTTCTGTTATACACTTCTAACACCCGTTTTTTCTGTTTCAAGTAACATGCACCAGAGCCATTTCGCTCTAACACATTGTTTTTTGCTACTAATATCTTAAAAAAGTATAATTTTTATTAGATTTAAAAATCTATATATAACTTCTTCTACTTGTTCTTCTACTTTTTTTCCCCGAAAATCATTTTCTTGTATCTCTCTTTCCCCCTTTTGTAGTTATAATTCATTTTGTCTTTTCGCTAACCTTGGCATTGGGTTGCATCCATTGTTCGAAAATCTTGCATCAAGAGCTAATAAACAATGTCGTGCGTTGGCCTATGGAAATGTTCGATACAACACCATTGGGTAGAATTGTTAATCGTTTTGCCAAAGACATTGATACCATTGATATAATTTTACCATTGAATTGGCGCGTTGTCATTAGTCAGGCTTTTGCGGTAATTAAAAACATTATACAAACAAACAAACAAACACACACACATAAACAAAATACAATAATATCTAAACACTATAGTGTATATATATTACATTCTATAACTTTGTATTGATATATATCCTCCATTTGGCTTTTCATATTTTTAATAAGATTTCAGAATTACTAACACAGTTCCCTCGCTCTACCCAATTTAAGGTTTTCATGTTTTCTAATATTTTCCATTTCAAAATTTCGAACAGAAAACGCGTTTTTAATTTGCAACCAATACGTTTGAGATTTAAAATAAAAATTGGCTTCTTGATTTCTCTTTGGGAGCGGATTTTGTGGTGTTCAAATTAAAAATGGTTCTCTGAACCAGTCAATGGTTCTCTGAACCACCAATGGTTCTATGGACCATTAACGGTTCTATAAAACATCAATGGTTCTATGAAACAATGATGATTCTACGAACCATCAATGGTTGTCTGCACCATCAATGGTTCTATGGACCATCAATGGTTCTATGGACCATCAATGGTTCTGTGAACCGTCAATGGTTCTGTGAACCAGTCAATGGTTCTATGAACCATCAATGGTTCTATGAACCATCAATGGTTCTATGGACCATCAATGGTTCTATGGACCATCAATGGTTCTGTGAACCGTCAATGGTTCTATGAACCAGTCAGTGGTTCTATGAACCAGTCGGTGGTTCTATGGCCCATCAACGGTTCCATGAACCATCAATGGTCCTATGGCCCATCAACGGTTCCATGAACCATCAATGGTGCTATGGCCCATCAATGGTTCTATGAACCATCAATGATTCTGTGAACCATCAATGGTTCTATGGACCATCAATGGTTCTTTGAACCAGTCAATGGTTCTATGAACCTCCAATGGCTCTCTGAATTATCAGTGGTTCTCTGAATCAGTCAATGGTTCTTTGAACCATAAATGGTTCTTTGAACCAAAAATGGTTCTTTGAACCAAAAATGGTTCTCTGAACCATAAATGGTTCTCAATGGCTCTTTGAACCCTCAATGATTCTATGAACCATCAATGGTTCTATGAGCCATCAATGGTGCTATGGCCCATCAATGGTTCTATGAACCATTAATGATTCTGTGAACCATCAATGGTTCTATGGAACATCAATGGTTCTTTGGACCAGTCAATGGTTCTATGAACCTCCAATGGCTCTCTGAATTATCAGGGGTTCTCTGAATCAGTCAATGGTTCTTTGAACCTTAAATGGTTCTTTGAACCAAAAATGGTTCTCTGAACAATAAATGGTTCTCAATGGCTCTTTGAACCCTCAATGATTCTATGAACCATCAATGGTTCTATGAGCCATCAATGGTGCTATGGCCTATCAATGGTTCTATGAACCATCAATGATTCTGTGAACCATCAATGGTTCTATGGACCATCAATGGTTCTTTGGACCAGTCAATGGTTCTATGAACCACCAATGGCTCTCTGAGTTATCAGTGGTTCTCTGAATCAGTCAATGGTTCTTTGAACCAAAAATGGTTCTCTGAACCATAAATGGCTCTCAATGGCTCTTTGAACCCTCAATAATTCTATGAACCATCAATGGTTCTATGAGCCATCAATGGTTCTATGAGCCATCAATGGTTCTATGAGCCACCAATGGTTCTATGAGCCATCAATAGTTCTATGAACCATCAATGGTTTTGTGCACCATCATTGGTTCTATGGACCATCAATGGTTCTGTGAAACATCAATGGTTCTATGAACCATGAATGGTTCTATCAAGCATCAATGGTTCGAAAGAACCATCAATGATTCTGTGATCCATCAATGATTCTGTGAACCATCATTGGTTCTGTGAAACATAAATGGTTCTGTGAACCATAAATGGTCCTGGGAACCATCAATATTTCTGTCAACCATCAATGGTTCTTTGAACCATTAATCGATTCTGTAAACCAGTCATTGGTTCTCTGAACCATCAATGGTCTTCTGAAGCATCAAGTGGTGAATCAGTTAATGTTTTCTAGAACTAATTAATGGTTCCTTGAACCATCTATAGTTCCTTTAACTCTTGTATCCCTAGTGTGGATAAGTTAATTTAAACACCACATGATTCGCATCCCTAGAGAAAACTTTGTACAAAATTCTGTCTGTCCCCAATCCCTTGGCCAACCCCTACTCCTCCCCCTTAGGCTAGCTTTGTGTGTTCTTTCTGTAAATAGTATTTAATGCATTTTGAGTGAATTTTTAAATATGGTCTTGTTAATATTAATTTTACAAGTAAGTTGCTAGTAAGCCGGAAATTTTTTTCGCGTTACAAAGATTGAAATTCGTTTTGGTTCTTTTTTAAATACTAACATTTATTTGTAGTGTTGGTTACCAAGATTTTGTTGTAAATTTGTGTTTTTTTTTGTAATTTCTTTTGGTAAAAATGGCATGTATCAATTTGACATGAAAATGTTTTTATTTTTTTACTTTTGTTAATTATTTATATAAGTATGGCTGATAAAAAAAATGTTTACCAACTGTTGCAGCAAAGCTTTTGTAAAAGACTAAGTACTACAATTTTTGTTCAAGATATTAGTACTATTTTGAACAAAATCGTTTCTTTTGTCCAAGATATTGCAATACATTTTGGAACAATTTTAGCTTAAACAGTAACTGAATCTGAAAAAAATGAGACTCCTGTCGCTTCTTAACGGTTACCCTTTTTTTAGATTATTTTTGAAAAAATCTTTTTTTTTTTTTGCTATATTTTTTAATTACCCCAAATCTGTTTCTTCCCTTAACCGCAGTTATAACTCGTTATTTATCCGGCCTGGCATTGGCAATTGGCTGTTTGCATAGCTCAATGAGTGTCTTTCATGTCTTATTGCTAAAAGTTTTCAAATGGCCAATGGAGCTGTTCGACACAACGCCGGTGGGCCGTATTATCAGTCGTTTTGCCAAAGACATTGATACATGCGATACAGTATTGCCATTGAGTTTTCAATCGTTTTTGAACACGTGTTTTTCGGTAAAGAAAACAAAAAAATTTGAAACAAAAAATACTTAATTTTTAAGTTGAATATAGGGATTATTAATTTTAAAAACACAATTCTCAATGTCGACTGAAGGTGGAGACTTTGATTTGTTTGAAGGTTAAATAAGATCCTAACCTAATTTAGTCTCAAAAAATCAAGTGCAAACTTTCTTTCGATGTTGTGGAAAATGCCTCCATTATTATTTTCTGATAGCTTAGTCCCATTTCTCTGCAAAAAAAGAACTTCAATATTTTTATGCAACAAAAAAATTAAATAATGTTCCTCTAATCGAAATTGCATTTGTGTGGGGATTTAACTTTTATATATTTCACAAAGCTTCAATGAAATTCCCATCTCTGGCAGGGTTTGAAAATATTAATGGTTCTTGCAATCAATGGTTCTATCCACAATGGAATGTCCACTGATCTACATTTTCCTTAATATCGCAGTTGATGACCCTGGCTTGTCCTATCCGCATATTTCCCCATTCGACAGGTACCGGATCTTTCTGTCGATCAGCATCGAATGACCCACGCTAATGTACCCATTGGGATCAGCGTGATCACTGACCACTACTCCAAAGGGGTTGTTGCTACTAGGGACCATGGGGTCTCATCCATTTTAATAATGGCATTAGCTTCTGCATAACACTCTTTAATGCCCTGAAGAAGGAACTCATTTTTTATAGTCGCCTAAATTATTAAAAAGTCAAAATGTTAATTCTTAGGTTTGGAGTAAAAGATCGATCATTTAGCTTCGAATAGAAGATTTTTTTGATAAAGTAATAAATTTAAGCAAGATTTATCCTGGAAACTGAAATACGTTACAAAGTTTTTGTTTTTCTGCCGTAAGAGACTGGGAGAGATGTAACACCGTGTAGTGAGTGTTTGGTATCACTAATAACAATGATGCCAAGTTTTGGGTTATGAAAAGAGTGGCCTAAGCACAAAATTATACATTTGACAACATTTATAAAAAAATCGGAAAATCAATTTTTCTACTTTTGATTTAAAATATATCGATTTTAATATCAATTATATTAAAACAATTTAAAATTCTGACGCTTCTGCCCCAGCAAAAATGCATTTTCGATGGTTTTTTGTCGCAGTATTGAATGTTATTCTCGTTTTTTTTTGGAATCTAGTATTACAAATTAGTTGCAAATTAAAATTATTCTTACATTCATATTTTCAAATATCATTATCTATATTTTTTAATATGCATATATTTATATTCTCTTCTAATAGTTGTATTTTAAATTATATTAATTTATATTTATCATCACTTGATTTTTCTTTTAACATAACTTGACTCAAGACTTTCTTCTCTTCTATGCATTGGTAATTTGGCAAAAAATTTCGAAAACAGTCACACAATAAAAACTGTATTTATTAAAATAATCTCTAAACTTTGATATTGTTCTGAAAGAAAGTGTTCTCAAAGGACATCATATTCTCCTTAGGGCCTTTTTTTCTATGACAAATGCAAATAAAATATGTTTTTCAAACGTAAGATTTTTAATTAAAAAATCAAAGTTATGGAAAATATATTTGGAATTGTGTTTATACCGTTGAGAAACGTCTTACAAAAACAGCAGCGTAATATCATATCTTTACGTTATTTGTTGCACTGTGTAATGCTTCAGAACAATTCATCCAATGTCCCAATTTTTTTTAATTCTAAATGAAATTCATTGCTTCTGGTTGGTTTTGAAAATCTCTTCTTTACATCATCTGCATTTAGTAGATTTTCCATATAATTTTTCACAGCAAAATTCCTACAGCAGCGTCCAAACTTCAAATCATCAAAAGGCAGAAATTAATTTGCCATCTACAACGCTCTCTAATCTGGTATTACGGAAATAATTCTGCGTCCATGGATAAGGTAGCCATGCTATAACCCAAACAAACAAACAAAAAATCACATCCCACCCATCCCATATATATTTCTCATCCCAACCTAATCCTATCCCACATTTTACATAATCCCACTTTTAACTCTGCAAATTTGCCTACCAGTTTTCATGATTTCAATATTCATATCCCTAATATCAAAGCCTTGACAGACAAGGTTCTTATAAATTTTTACCACAACTCTCATCGATGACAAGCTTTCAAAAGACATTTTTTAGAATTCCGTCCAATCTATGATATAGTACGTTTATATATATGAGGGTTAACCCACTGGATTTGGATTTAAATTGAAATATCCATTACTTTTACTTCAAATAAATCCTCTCAAAGTAGGTTAACCCTACAAAAAGTTCTAACGTAAACATGGCAATATTCAAATAAAAATAAACCTGCACAGACAATTTTCTGCCTTGGGCTGTATTATCAATTACGAACTGCAAATACAAAATTTGAAAAAATCCCGGTGAATAATGTCGCTGAAATCATCAAAATACCGAATATCGGGGGGTACCTTTATATGGGCGCTATACGAAGACGTGAACCTGCACAGTCAATATTCTGTCCTAGGCTGTAATATCCATTATGAAATTCAAATACCAAATTTGAAACAATTCCGGTAAATAATGTCGCCAAATCATCAAAATACCGAATATCGGGGGGTACCTTTATATGGGAGCTATACTAAGACGTGAACCTGCACAGTCAATATTCTGTCCTAGGCTGTAATATCCATTATGAAATTCAAATACCAAATTTGAAACAATTCCGGTAAATAATGTCGCCAAAATCAACAAAATACCGAATATCGGGAGGTACCGTTATGTGGGGGCTATACGAAGACGTGGAACTGCACAGAAAAGTTTCTGTCATAGGCTGTAGTATCCATTACGAACTTCGAATGCCCAATTTGACACAATTCCGGTGAATAATGTAGCTAAATTCACCAAAATACCGAATATAGGAAGGTACCGTTATATGAGGGCCATACCAAAACGTGAACCTACATGGCCTATTTTCAATACCAAAAGTCCTGCAGACATAATATACATTTGGGTTAAATTTTATCAACCTACTTCATTTCGTTCGGAGGCTAGAGTAAATTCCACAGACGGACATCACTATATCGACATAGAATTTTATGCTGATCAAGAATATATATACTTTGTGGGGTCTATAATGTATATTTCGAGGTGATATAAACGGAATGACAAAGTTAATATAGGGTGCAGGGTATAAAAATGGAATTTTGTCGCACAGTGTAATTAATTAAACATGATTGGACTTGATATATATTTTAAAAATCAAAAAACTTTTTCAATATTTTAGAGGGTTCCATACTCATTTTACGCCAAAAATGATCTCTCTCTCTCTCTTCATTCATTTAATCTCTTGAGTACCACTACCATTTGGTTTAGCTTAACAGAGTTGCCAGCATTATTTTTTATTAAAAAATCAAAACCTATTATTTTTCTTTCCTATACTGGTTTGGTAAAATAAAGAACAAAATTAATCCTCATCCTCCTCAATCCTCCATCCATCCTTTAATCCTTTACACAAAAATATATACAAAATCCCTTTATAATCCTTAAATATATTATTTTATTTTTTCCCCTTTTTCCCATTTTTATTATTTTTTTCCTATTTTGGTTTGGTAAAATAAACAACAAAATTTATCCTCATCCCCCTCCATATATCCTTTAATCCTTTATACAAAAATATATACAAAATCCCTTTATTAATCCTTAAATATATTCTTTTATTTTCCCCCTTTTTCCCCGTTTTGTGATTATTTGTTTTTGTTTTTTGTTATAACTACCACCACCACCATTGGATGGATCTATCCAGGTGTGTTTTCCTATTTTGCCGTAGTGGCCGTCTATTATGGTACCTTTGAGGCCGCCAAGTCCATGCACAATGATCTCTTGCGAATTATAATGCGTAATTCGGTGAGTCGATTCTTTGATGTGACACCAATTGGACGTTTGCTGAATCACTTTAGCGGTGATATGGAAGTAATCGATGGAGAATTACCAGCCACCGTGGATGGGATAATGACATTTATGTTTTCGGTATTTCAATTGTTTTCTTTTTTTATTTTTACAATTTTTTTTTTCATTTCCAACAAAACCCAACATGGTTTGTATGAATTTTCACCACCACCAAAATGAAAAAAAAAAACTCCATAAAAGAAAGTCACAACCGATTTTCATAATAATGCTGCATTTTCTATCTTTACTTCTACTCTTTTTTCTATTTACTTCCTCTTCTTTATCTCTTCTCTATAAATTTCTGTAATTTTTCCTTTTGCTTTTCCATATAATGTTCATAATACTACTCACATTCCAACCAACCAATCAGGATTCTGCAATTTTTTTGCCTCCCTAACCCTGTGGATAGCCACCCTACACGCCTCGTTTCGAATTTTCCACAGTTTATATTCACATTTAATGCATTGTTCATCGGAATTTTATGATATAACACCGAAAGGTCGCATTCTAGATAGATGTTCGAATGACATAAATACCCTTGACATGATCATACCAATGAATATACGTATGTTTATATCAACAGCATCACAGGTAAACGATTAATTTAAGTTGTATATTCTTTTTTTGTTTTAGAATAAATTTTAAGAAAATTACGAACAAATTTCATAAAAGAGAATATTACGAACAAATTTCATAACTGAAAAGTTGAAGCAACTTTTAACAATGTTGTAAAGAGATAAACGATGTTGAAGCAACATTTTTTCAAAATCGATCTGCATTTGTCAATGTTGCATCAACATTTGTGAGTTGTAGCAACATTGTTTAATGTTGCAAAAACATTTTTTTTAATTTTACATCAAATATTGTTAGGCTGAGTGAATTTTAATCAATCATAAAATTTTATTTATCAACATTTGAAGAAATTTTCTGAACTGAACATTTTTCATAACTGAAAAGTTGAGGCAACATTTAAAAATGTTGAAATGAGATAATCAATGTTGAAGCAACATGTTTCAAAGTTGTTTACATTTGTGAGTTGTATCGTGTTTAATGTTCCATAAACAGTTTTTTAATTTTATGTCAAATATTGTTAAGATTGAGTGAATTATTATAATTCCACTGATTCCTTCAATAGCAAAACACAAAAATGTTATATATCAACATTTGAAGAATTTTTCTGAACCGAATCAACATTGGACTATGTTGATCTTCTTTGAACAATGTTGCAGCAACATCTTTCAAAGTAGATCAGCATTTGTAAATGTTGACTCAACATTTGTTTGTGTTTTATGAACAAAGATTGAAAAGTTTTCTTCAATATCAATGTTGAATCAACATTTTATTCTTTCAAATTTATTTAACAATTTTCACTGTTGTATTTATAGTTATGTTGAATCAACATTTGGTTTTATGGAATAAATTTTTTAATTTTTAGATTGAAAATCTTTCTTCAAGTATTAAATCAATGTGGGCACTATCAAATCAAACTTTGTAATAATTGTTAAAATATATTCTCTCAACGGAATCAACATGTACCCATACCAAATCAACACTGAACTATGTTGAAATGGCATTTTCAATGTTGCGGCAACATTTTTCAAAGTAGATCAGCATATTTCAATGTTTAATCAACATTTGTTGCTGTTTATGTTTTAATACTGTTGCATAAACATTTGCTAATGTTGAGTGACTTCTTATCATTTCATAGATTGAAAATCTTTATTTAATATTGATGTTCAATTAAATTGGGCATAGGCTGTCTATAAATTGTCTCCATTTGCAATATTGTTGTAGAATCTTCCAAGACTATAAGACGTAGAGTTAATTATACCCTTAGTCACATGACTAGAGTATATATCATTTGATACGGCCAAAACGTGCCTAATCGAAATAACGGTTTTTGGCCCTAGGTCCAAATCCGTTTCAGGACATTTGGAGTCGATCTAGCGATGTCCATCCGCCCGTCTGTCTGTCTGGTTGGCTGGTGGGCACGATAACTCTCGAAGGGAGTATCCGATTTGATCCAAACTTGGTATATCGTAATATTATCCTCAAAGTTACAGGGTGAGATAAAAAAACTGCAATTTTTTTTAAATTTTATTAAATGAAAGCAAAAAATGTCGGAAATAACATCAAGTTTTAGAATAAGTTTAGATTTGTTCGAATCGGGCACAAATTATGGCCTTCAAACGGGCAATGAAACCGTCACACGCTGCTCGAATGTTGTTCTGCGGTATTTTGGTCATTTCCCGGCGAAGCGCCTTCTTGAGGTGATCGACTCTTTGGTATTTTTGCGTGTCAAGGCTTTAATACACCCTCCAGAATATTTTCGCGATAATATTCAGCATTTATTCTGATGCCACGGTCAATTAATACGAGAGGAGAGCGATCATCGGCTGTTATGAGGGCCCAGACCATCACCCTGGCCGGCGCTTGAGTTCTGGTGGCCAATAGAGGGTGCACACTTTCAGCTGACCTCTTTGGCAAGTAAACACGATCATTTTGTTTGACAGTTCATCACTTTCGGCCAAGCGAAGCAACTCTTTAGCTCTTTCTCTATTTTCTTTCTGTTGCGGTGTAAGTTCTTGCATTTTTTGGAATTTCAATGACTTTACCCCGAGCTCATTTTTTAGCCCACTGCGACGCGGGTTTTGATCAAGTCGCTTGTTTACTTTTCGAACCATTTCTGCCGATGTTGAAGTTTTCTTCCGTCCACTTCCTTGAAGTCGGGCTACGCCACCAGTATCACGGTAAAGAGTGATGATACGAGACACAAAAGATTTATTCACATTTAAATGCTGGATTGCTTTAACGTGGTTTTCCAGCAAATAACTTTTTTTCTGGAAAATTCTCACCAAAATGCTTTTGTACGCTTGTAAACAATATGATGAGCTGTCATTGGAATAATTTTAACAGCTGTCGGACGAGTGGCTTAGAAATGACAGCAGTCTGAAGTTGGTAGCAGTTTTTTGATCTCACCTTGTATGTGTTCCCCACAGTCGTAAGGTGTTCTCCGTAACAACGACATTCGGGGAAATATATCAAATACAGCTCAGTAATACCTTTGCCAAAATTTTATCGAGATCGGTTTAGATTTATCATATCATATATGTCTTTATCCGATTTCGAGTTATTTTGCACCAAATGGTTAATACAAGCCCAAATTGAAAAGGCACAAATGCCTCATAAATTTACCGATTTCGGAATTTTTTTGTGGCACCCCCAGATTTTTTAATTCTGCTCCAATAAATTCTCTCATAATCGACGAAAATATTGTTAAATGGTTTTTAACCAGTTTCCTCTTTGTGCCAGTTTTGAAGCGTGAACAGCTGGCTACTCTGATCAGCAAACGATTGCTTGCCCTTAGATTTTGCATTTGGTGCTGTATTATATGCAGCCTTTCGAGTTTTTGGCAACCTAGACCCCTTAGGCCTACATGCAGCCGGTTTACTCTGACGAGTATTCAGCTTTGCCTTTGCTTTAGGCTCAAATCTTGCGATCTGTGATACAGTAGTTTCATGAGCTATTTTTAGCGAGCAGCGCCATTTTCCGGAAAGAGAATCATTTTCACTAAGAGTTCCCCCTTAGCTAAGTGACGGTAATTTCTTTCGAACTTTCTCACTAACCTAAGCTTGGTCATGATATATGAGATTTCCTTCTCGGTATGCAAAGTCAGATCCAGTGAGATACAAAATGGCATTCTTATAGAAGCTGCGCTATTTTTCGGAAGGGAGTCCTTTTCGCTAAGAGTTCTCCCATAGGTAAGTGAGGGTAATTTCCTTTGGAATTTTCTCACCAACCTATGCTTGGTCATGATATATGAGATTGATCTTGGTCTTGATATATGGGATTTCCTTCTCGGTATGCAAAGTCGGATCCGTGTCCACGAATTTGAGGAGAATTTGGAATGATAGTCTCATTCAAGGTCATACACTGTAAAGGTGAGGCTGGGACTGCTCTGTGGGGTCTCTTCTATGAGGTCGACTCGTGTACCGCATTTATCGTCCTCTTGCTTCCATTTGGCCGTCAACTTGTCGTTTATTACTAGGACTTAAGGGCTAAGTACATAAGAAGCTTGAAGTCATGGCTAAGCATATTTTGTGGCATATCACAAAGGAATTACAGAGCTCCCATAAAATCCTGCCGTCGTTTTCCATTATAATTTGACATTAATATGCCTAGCCATGACTTCAAGCTTTTTATGTACTTGCACCCTTATAACAATGGCAATAACAGCCAATGACGATATTTATAATTTCTTATTAACTCTAGACCTTAATATCGGTAAAATATCCGTTTGCATTGAATTTTTTAAAAATCGAAATTTTCAGAAGTGTTTACTTTGTGTGTGTGAAGAGAGAAAACAATAGCCTATAGGCGACTCCTTTGCTTTAGCCGGCCGTATAATAAACTCAGAGCCAATTAGATATTGGCTCAACGCAGACAACATCAAGCCGTTAAACAAGATTTTCAACGACATCAATCAAATCTAATAATTTTCTATTTTCAAACTCTTTTTTTTTTCTTATGTGTTATTTTCTTGGCCCTCCGTTAAATGTTTATTCGTATTTCTAATGTTTCATGTTTATGTCCTTATAATTGAGAATAAGATACTCGTTTTTTGTTTCTGAGAACCACCACAAAATTTTCTCTCTATTCAATGTTTAAAATGATGACTTGGAAAAAACTGGATTTCTGTTTTGATATTTTTTTTTTGTTCTCAGTTTCCGTTTTCTCTACGTCCACTTTTTATTTTTTTTAACTCCCCACTTTCATTTCTAGTCTTAGCTTTTATTGGCGGCACTTTAAGCTGTGAATTGGGTACTTTATTGGCTTCATATAAACTGTTTGTGCAGGCTTTCGGTCGTGTTATGCATGCACCCCAAGAATTTTTCGATATAATACCCAAGGGACGAATATTAGATCGATTGGCTAATGATATTTATATTTTGGATCTAGTAATGCCCTCAAATATAAGAGTTTGTTGTAAGCAGACATTTGCGGTAGGTCAATGAAAACCCAAAAAAAAAGGTAAATAGGTTACTAACCGCCACTAACTAAAATGCACTAATTTTCTCACT